AGAGAGAGAGAGAGAGAGAGCCCACAACAATGAATTCAGGCAGGGCATGCCCCATTGAAAAGCAAGGTCTTTGGGTGTGAGGGTGTTTTGAAGGGCACTTTAACAGTTTTGGACAAGTCCAAGTGGGTGGAAGGCGTTAGGACTTCTCTTTTTCTTTTTGGGAAAAAAAAAAAAATCATTTGATGATGTTGGGAAAAGGCTTTTATAGTGAAGATGATGGTGATGATGTAGACACATCCACCATGGCATTCCTTAATCATGGTGGTTGTTAACATTTACCTGAGCAATCTGTGAGGGACACCATGGGTGAGAAGCAAATGGCATGAAGAAGTACATGTGTTGAGTGTGATGGGGATTTCTGTTAGGGTTCAAAAGGTCTAAATGGAAATAACTGGAAATCTCTATGAATGTGCATTTTCTCTCAGAAATCTATTGTAACTTCTGTTTCAAAATGATTACTTTTCCAAACTTTTATTGGTTGCACCAGTTTTAATCTGTTAAAAAAGTGGCTAAGGCAATGACATTAGGATGGTTAATGTTTTTCCTTTACGTTGGCCTTGAGCAAGATCCTATTGACATTTAACTCTATGGAACTCTAGGGTGGTTGATATTTTTAATTTACCTTGGCCTTGGAAAACATTCTATTAATACCTAACCTTCCGGAACTGTTTTAAACCTTGTGGAACTTTTTTTAAAAAGTATATGATAAAACTATTTAATTTGGTACAAAAAAGTGACTATCACTTGAAATCATTTAATGCAAAATCAGTCGGTTATCAGTGGATCATCTGCATATGGAGTTAAAAAAATAAATTTCAAATTTCATTGTACACCTTAGCTGTTTGAAATGTTACATCTAATTTTGCATCTTATAGCTGCTAATAATTGTAACTGACTTGTACCAAAATAAGTAAATAGTCTTATGTTGTAAATATCCTAGGTTGTATGTCACAAGTTCTTTTAGGCTAGATGTTTAGAGCTATATTCACATGGTAAATGACGGGGATAGATGTAACTTGTGGATCCCAATTTACACATTTGAAATTATAGAAAATGTCAACTCTTTTTTTTTTTTCCTTTTTTTCGGGTAATTTAGTGGGGAAGGCAGGCTCTACCTGTTTTTTCAAGTAGATTACAAAAACGTGGTGACCAAGATGTGGGGTGCGACCGTTATGACTCTAGCCCCTTTTCCAAATGTCACCTCCTTCCGCTGTCCTATATGTGCATTAGGAATCACGTACTCGACATAGCTAATGGCTTTATGAAATGATGCAGGTCTTGTTCTAAAAAGTTGGAGGTAAAAAATCAAGTAAAACATATGGATCACCAAAAATTAGTTGACTTAGAGAATCATGAATATTTTGGATTTGGCTAAAAAAACAGTGAAAAAATCGAATATCTAAAGATAATAAAGTATAAGATTATGAGTTGTAGTTATTATTAGGATATATTAAAACCATTGAACTGTCAACAAAAATTTTTAAAAACATTGAACTAAAGTTTTATATCTTTACTGTTATACTTGATAAACTTTTGTTTAAATTTTTAATAAATACAACATCAATACTTACTTTGTTGTCACGACACAAAACATATAGTAGATTTATTGGGAGTATATAATAAAACAACAACAACAATACTAAACACAAGAACTACATTAGCAAATAACAAGAATGGGATCCAAGGTATGAAATTATCGTTGGAACAAAAAAAATAAAAATGACCTTCAGTATAGGATTGAAGTTAACTAAAACCCAAAAACGTAAAGTAGTGGTCCATCCAAATTGCTATGTTGTATACAATAATGAAATTAAAAAATAATAATTGAAAAGATGAAATTAATCAAGGGTGCAGGTTGTATAGAGCCTAGGCTCTAAACAATCAAATTAGAGCCTACCTTCAAATAGTGTCAAGAAATGCGGTTTCAATATTGGAAATCTTTGTGATAGCCTTCAAATATATTTTCATCTTTATTTGTATAGTTTAAAATTTCAAAAATAATGTAGATTGACATATCTATGAAAACTTGAAAATCTTAAAAATTGACGGTCAAAAAATGTATTACAAAATACACTATTTCCAAAAATTGAAGTCTATTTTTTTCTCATGTCCATGCATCTTGATGTCGAGATGATCAATTTGAGGATCTTTGGGCATCAAAACAACATCTTCTAGTGAAAGTTTTGAGGTAGGCTCAAATTTGATTGTTTAGAGCCTCTGCTCTATATAAACTTTTCCCATTAATCAAACTTCTATATGCATAAAGAAAGCAATAAAATGCTTAACCAATTCTAAATATTTGAAACACATATTGAATTCCAAGCTGCCTAAATCTTAGTTGTCATGAAACATCTGTCTTGCTATTTATAATGATACTGTGTATTTAGAGGGGGAAAAAAAGATTTTTCATTGAGTTACTTTTCTTCTTCTTTTAACTATTATTTTGAGATATATGGTTGTTTTGATGGATTATTTTTTGGAGAATATATTGAACCTTTTCTAAAAGCACATTTGGGAAGAAATTTTAATGGAAATTTATGTTGTCAATATTTTTAACTTACTTCTCTACTTTTAATATGCTTATCTCTAAACCAAAATTCAAAGATATTAATTAACTAAGAAATGGGAAGAGGTTTTTTATGAAAACAGATAAAATGCAGATTCACATTGATTCCATTGGTAAAACGCGACTTTTTTTAAGATCTTTTGAAAAATTCAGAATTCTTCATGGATTTAAAGAACAACAAAGATTTTTTTTTAAAAAAATCATGTTTTAAACGGAGACTTGCTAACTATGATCTATATATGGTGCTAAATTTTTTTTTTTTTTTTTCTAACTTTTGAATAGGGTGTAAACCTTAAATAATCAATGTAAAGTGCAACTCTAGATCTTACTAAAAGATGTAATTCCAGTGTTGGAAACCCTTATGATGACCCAAGAATCTGTTTTCACTTATAATTATGAACTATTAAACTCCAAAATTATTGTAGATCGTGCAGATTTATAAATACTAAAAAATATTGAAAATGGACAATCTAAATAAGAACCCGATTTCTATGTGGCCAAGCCCGTATATGTAGAAATGCAGTCCTCTTAATAAATCTATTTTTTAGATGGATTTTAGGACTTAATTTTTAAGGACTTGTAATCTCTAATATGAAGATCATGAATATGAATAAATAAATAAATTTAAAAAATTAAAAGTAGAGTAATAATCCTATGAGACCCCTCCCACATCTATGTGTGTAGGACCTCAAAGGATTACCATTAAATTTGGCACAAATCTTTAGAAAAGTCAAGTCCCACACCCATGTGATAACTTTTTAGAGATTCGTGTCAAATTTAATGGTGATCTTTTAGGGTCTTACATATATGGGTGTGGGAGGTTCTCATAAGATCATTACTCTTAAAAATAATAATTCTAGCAAGAAAACATTTGGACCATTAGATTCCATTGTTTTTAGATGGAACACCTCCTTGCATCCATCTTTAGGATGGATGCTTTACACTTTCTGGATTGCATATGTAGAAATGCGGTCTAGCCTGCATGAAACTATTTTCCTACCGAAAACGTGATATAAGATACATCATTTTTAGGAATGGTATCAAGGCGGTGGTCAAAGATGGCAAGGTGCATCAACATGACTTCTTGAATTTATTTTCTACCACAGGTAGGAAACCCATTATCCACTGAACTCATCATCATCATTATCTTTAAAGCCTTTTTCCAATTATTTGAAGTCCACTACTTGAATCTTAGTCTGTCATTATGCTTAGTTAAAGCCATACCCGTAACAATGTCATAAGTTGCTATATATTTTCTTACTATTTTCAATTATGTCATTTTGGGCTATGCCTTTTCTTTTTTTACCCTTCCACTTGAACTATAAAAAAAAATTGTAGGACTTACAATATTTTTTTACATTGATAGATCCCAAGGTCGAGATGATCAATTCTAGGAAATGGGTGGCTTCTTGAAGTGCATCATACTCCTAAAACATAAGGTTGATACCTCTTTTGTCCAAAAAAAAAAAAAACTTGATACCATCTATAAACGTCTACAATTTTGTCTCTGTGATTCTGGTACTTAGGGTGTACTCAAGCCCATATTGTGCCTAAGAATTCACATTGGAATGCATGCGAAATGATGATCTCCACCCTAAAATGACTCCGATGACTAGTTCCGGTTTGGGTATAAATCGGGTTTGCAACTCAACCTTGATTTAAATGTAATCAGCATCCTGATAAGTAGTAATCCCTCAATTTAAACTTCATTAACATTGATGGCAGGAAGAGATCGACATCTACCAAGCGATTTACATGAA